TTTTCTTTTGGTGGTACTGGGGATTGAACTTAGGGCCTTGTGTATGCTAGGAAAGCACTCTACCGCTCAGCTCCATCCCCAGCCTTCAGAGCTCATTTTAATAGTACACGACTTCAGCCTGTGAAGGGTTTCACACGGGTACTGGCATGTGGAAAATCCTAAGTATGAAATATCAACGTTGAAATTAGAGTTGCGTTCCTTTACCCAGCTTGTTTTTACAGAGGGCCCTTGACCGTGATGGCCAGGTTGTTTGTTTGGTTTTTTGGGCGGGGGCGGTTCCAGTACCGGGAACCCAGCTCACGACCTTGCGCTTGCCAGGCAGGCCCTGTGCCGCTGAGCTAAATCCCCAGCCCCCTGCCAGGTTGGTTTTGGATGACGCTTCAGAAGTTAAGAGTGAAAATGAAGGAAGATACTGGGTGGTGGGTGCATTCCTCCCCCTTTTCCTTAAAAATGTTCACAGGTTCAAGGATGATAACAATGATAATGATAAGGATAGCTAACACTGACATAGCACTTCCTGTGTGCCAGGAACAGTTCTAAGAACTTTAAACCCTTTAATTCACTTAATCACCCCAGCAATCCTTTTAGTCAGATAATATTATTTGCTCCATTTAACAGCTTCAGACACTGAGCTCCGGAGAAGTGCAGCACGGGGACGGTCATCAGCTGGCAGAACTGGGTCCCAAATCACGCTCCGTGGCTCGTGTCCTCATCCAGTGGCTTAACCGCAAAGTCAAAGGTTGTCTCAGAGGCGCTTCCTGCCTCTGGGGGACTGGCTGGGCCCAGCCTGGGAGGGAAGAACTCTAGGAGATGCAGGGAGTGGTGCGAGGATGCTCGTTCTCGGAGGCTCAGTCCAGTTCAGGCTAATGAAAAACAGTGGCTTCCCCAGCACTGAAACATGTTGGGGTGGGACTTCAACTGACCATGCCGTGATTTGTAATCAGGTGTCTGCGCGTGGTGTCTGTCCCTCCTACCAGGCTAAACCCCAGCACTGTCCAATCTGGGGGTCTCTAGCACTGTACATGCCACTAGTGTGACTGTGGAATTGAACTTTCTGTTTTATTTACTTTTGGTAATTTGAATATAAATAACTACAGGTAGCCAGCAGCTACTGAAGGCACAGCGTGTACCTAACATCAGAGAAGACCTAAACTACATCTCGTGTTCATTCCTGTATCCCATGACCTGCACAGTGCGTTGTCCTACAAATATTTGTTGACTCACCTGGGGTCTCACCTTATTAAAAAGCTTCTGCAAATCAAAACAAATCACCAACAGAGTAAAAAGACAACCCATACAGTGGAAAAAAATTTTAGCCAATTATCCCTCAGACAAAGGACTTCTATCTAGAGCACATACAGAATTGAAAAAATTCAGACCCCCCCCCAAATTCAATGACCCAGTCCAAAAACGGGCATCTGAGATGAATATCCAGTTCTCAGATGAAGAAATACAAATAGCAAATAAATCTATAAAAAAAAGTTCAGGGGCTGGGGATTTAGCTCAGCGGCAAAAGCGCCTGCCTGGCAAGTGCAAGGTCATGAGTTCGGTTCCCAGTACCGGAGAAAAACCAAAAAAAAAAAAAAAAAGAAAAAAAGAAAAAAAATAAATAAAAAAAAGTTCATTTTTTCGAGAAATGCAAATTAAAACAACACTGAGATTCCATCTCACTCCAGAAAGAATGCTGTCATCAAAAAAATCAACCAATAATAAGTGCTGCTGGGGCTGTGGGGAAGAAGCAACACTTCTCCACTGTTGGTGGGAGTGCAGCCTGGTGCAACCACTGTGGAAATCAGTGTGGAGATTCCCTAGAGGTCCCATCTGACCCAGTTATTTTCCTCCTGGGTATTTTCCCAGAAGAATTAAAAACCTCATACCACAGTGACACAGGTGCACTCATGTTTATAGCAGTACAATTGGTAATAGCTAAATCTTGGAAACAACCCAAATGCCCATCAACTGAGAAATGGATAAAAAAGATGTGGTCTTTTTATACAATGGAGTACTACTGAGCCATAAAGAAGGATAAACTTAAAACTTTTATAGGTAACTGGATGCAACTTGAGACTATGCTCATAAGTGAAAAAAATCAGACTCACATGTGTAAACATTGTACTGTCCCCTGGTATAAGAAACTGAAAGAGTAAATAAGATCCAAAATGTACAATAGATATTTGTGGGACTCAATGATCTCTCAGTAGTCCCTGGGAGAAAACTGCGAGATTTAGAAAATAAAGAGAAGAGACAAAAGCTGGGGTCAGGTGGAGTTACCCCTTACCTGAAGGGCAAGAGGACCGACTTCAACAGTAGGGGCATTTATTTTATACTCTTGCAAAGTTAGTATCACGAGATGTAATGTTGCCTAGCGACTAACGACTATAATTGTCTGGATAGGATGTTTTTTCTGAAGACTGAGGTAGCTTGACTGCTTGAGGCACTCTGGCTCTGTCCTGCCTTCACACATATGACCAATTCCAGCTCCAGCTGAGTCACCCTGCCTTGGAGCCAGATTATGGACTAAACCTCTACAAACTGTGAGTTAAAATAAGCCTTTCCTCCTTTGACTTTTGGTGTCAGGTATTTTGCCTCAGCAATGAGGAAGTAACTAAGACAGTTCCCCTTTAAAGTCTGTTCTCTGCCCAGAGTTCAAGAGCCTTTTTAATCTGCAAGTAACTAGACTATCTCCCAATGGCTTAGAAGCTGTCCATCCATCTCCATGAATCCTCTTGCTATCACCATGGGATCTTTTGTGGGTGTCTGCGCCTTCCGGACGGTGAAACTGGGGCTTGGACAGCTTGGGGCTTTCCCACAGTCTCCAGCTGGTCAGTGCGGAGGTGGGGTTCAAGCCCCATCAGCTACTACTCCCCACTTCCCCTTGCTGCTGCCCCACAGGTGCCATTCTGAAACATCAACTGACTCCGTGGAGAATCTGGCTGGGAGGGGGGATCCAGACACCTGATCGATTTGAATGCCCCGTGAATCACCATGGCCAGGTGGTTGCCTGAACCCGGGACCCTGATGGTGTCAGCTAAGTGCGAGGCTCTGTGCCAGATGCTGGGTGCCATGTGAGCCTGCTTTCAGGGAGCTCCAGTGGGTGGAGGAGGAAGACTTGTGGCAGGACCTCCTACTGGAGTCCCACAGATCCTGGCATGGCCCTGCGAGAAGGGGCTCAGGTCCCCCAGGGACTCTAGCACTTGACTTTCCCCTGGAGGGGTAGTGGGAACACTTCTAGCTGTCTGCACTCTGTACCAGGAGCAGCACTTAAGCGGATGTAGGACACTATTGTTACTGTTCCACTA